TCACACACCCAACCCACCCCCCCCCAGGAAGCTGAGCGGCGCCTTCCTGGCCTGCATGAAGCTGCGCGCCAGGGTGCCCTGCAGGCAGCTGTTTTACGAAGCCTACGACTCACACACCTGGGGGCCCGTGGCCGAGGACGCCGCCGCGGCGCCCGACGGCGGGGAGGACGTGGCGGCGGCGGGGTGATGAGCGGCTGGGCGCGAGTGCGAGTGGCCGGCAGGAGATCAGGCCGTGCGTTGCTTTCTGGCTTGCGGCAGGGCCGAGGCAGCCCATCCAATTTCCGTGAACTTGTGCAGAGTGTGTGATTGTTTGAGTGATTGGGAGTGCTCCCTGCAGCGTTGCCTAGAGAGAGGGATTGTCCGTCATTGCGATTTGAGGGGACTGCCTTGATTTACGACCAGTGTTTGGCGTATCCAAACCCTATCAAAACCCTCTCAGGCACGAGCCCTCGCCTTGCGGTCGGGGGCAAGCATCCGCCTCCATGCGCTGCGTGTATGCGGCCGCTGTAATTTGTGCAGCTGACACACGCACCCACGTATGGTGGGCATCGCCAGCAGGTGTTGAGTAGGGCAGCCGAGGCGCTTTTGCATCCCGTGCACGCGTTTCGCCAACATTTGCGTCGAAAGGGGGACGCCTGAGGCACTCATTGGACTTTGAGGTGGTTATGGATGCGCCTGGTGGCCGTTGAGAGGGCCAAGTTGGCGGGACTCAGAGTTGTAACAGCCGCACGCCTCTAAACAACATCTGGTCGTGGAACTGCATGCAGGATGGGTACCCAATGAACCATTGGTTCCTCACCCTCTAGGGGCTGCGCCACGATACTGCGCCTGTGGCAGCTCAGACGGCAGGCGCGTAAGCTGAATGAAAAGATCGCCCGTTTGGCGTTGCATCCTCAGCCGTCCAGCAAGAGAGCATGACAAAGGTGAAGGGGTCAGGCGCGTGCATGCGTGCGTGCGTGCGGTCGACAGTAAAACGATGCAGGGCGTGGTCGGAAGGCGTAGACGACAACACCATGAAACGATCTCCGCAGTCTCATGCAAGATTATGTGATTGATATAAGTCGTCGCAATCCCAACGCTTTGGGGGAGCGTCCCTCGTGCTCGGTGAGCGTGCGCAGCGCGGCCGCCGCGGCCTGCTGAGCCCGCCGCCGCCCGGCTTGCTGGAGTGGGTTTGTTTTTCTTGCATCTGGGGGCGTTTATCATACCCTTGGGACAGCTCAGCCTCCGGGGCCTCTGGTGCCACCAGGAGGGCCTGGGTGCCACCAAGTCGAGTCTGGTCGAATTGAGCTAGAGCGAGGAGAGCACTGAATTGGGACGAGCGCAGACTGCGATCAATCCACACACACATGCAGCGAAGTACGGTGATAGCTCAGCATCCGTACTTTCGGCTTGTTGTACAGTACAAACAACACAGGCATTCGCTGTGCGGACATCCCGATCCGAGCTCCACGAGCACGTACTCACAGTTAAGGCAACATAACTTGGCCTGAGCGTTCAGCACGTCTCAAAAAAGATGGCTCGCGGCTGCTGGGCGATCCTGGCGGGTGAGCGTTGCGGCAGCGGCGCGAGATCAGTGTGGGCCTGGCCGCATCTGCACTGCTGTCTGCATGCAATGATGATGCGGGGAGCCATCCACGGTCTGGTGGCCCGTGCATTCTGTCCGCCATGATCTAGCCAGGCGAACTCTACCTGCTGCACGGCTCCTGCGACCGACCGACGCCTGTTGTTCCGCCCCTCCCCCTTGCAGTGGCCCTGCTCCTCGCCCCAGGGGCCCTGGGCGCATCCCTCAAGGCCGGCGGCCTGACCGCCTCAGACCGCCGCGCCCTGGGCGAGCAGGGCGCCAACTCGCCGCCCGCTGCCTCAGCTATTGCCAACATCATGGCCATCGTTGGGCGCACGGCCGGCTTCGCTCTCTCCCACCGAGCCCCAGTCACCAATTATGGCGGCGTGACCACCATTACGAACGCCGGGGTGGGCTTCCACGGCGGCACCACCACCAGCTTTGACAATTTTGGCAACCCCGTCGCCAGCAATGGCGGCCGCGGGATCATCTCCCGCCGCCTGGGCGAGCAGGCGGCTGCCGCCGCCGCTAGCAACATCACGGCCATCGGCAAGCGCACGGCCGCCGCCGCTGCCAACACCACGGCCATCGGCAAGCGCACGGCCGCCGCCGCTGCCAACACCACGGCCATCGGTGGGCGCACGGCCGGCTTTCCCCCATCGGATCATGCCGCCATCACCAATTTTGGCAGCTTTACCAACTTCATTTACAACACCAATACTAGCAACCCCATCACCAACTCGGACGGCCGTGGTGATGGGGGTGCCTACGGCTTTGCCTATCCCACATACCGCAACCCACTCGGCGACAACTATGCTGGCGTGCCCACCTATACCCAGGCTTTTGCGCGCAACAACAACCCCACAAACCGCCCCACAAACCCCACCGTCGCCAGCCTGGCGTAACCCGCAGGGTGCGCCCGATTGCGCCGGGCCTCGCGTGTGGGGTGCGCGCACGCGCCCGGATTTGCACCACGCACCACTCTAAGTTTCTGACGTCGTATCAGGGAAACCTCTGCTGAATTTCGGCCTCGGCAGCACCAACCTAGTTCATGAGACCTGAATCTGCACCTGCACAGATGTACCGCGACGCCCTGTTGAATCGAGTGCCTTGGCAGCCATGCCCGTGCATATACAATCATAAATGTGTGGTCTTCAATTCTGGTTAGAAGGAATTTTAACGCGCACGCGAGACTTAATGGGCCTTGCCACACCGACCTCCCATATGTGTCACACTTTCTCTGCCTCTGACCCGGCAGCTCGCACCGTTTTTGCCCCTTCCCCTTGAGCGGCCCACAGAGTGCTCTGAGCAGGGCCCTGCCCCCGGGGGCGCCCGACACTCTTCCGGTTGGGGCCGGCATCTGCTGCCGCAGCGGCCACGCATTGGGCCAAATCCGCTGTCACGGCGCTCGTGCCGGACTAAGACGGCAGCTTAGATTTTGCGCTGGCCTGGCCTTTGCCTGGCCCCACTTCGTGCCACGGCAAGGTCAGGGTTGCATTCCCAGCAGCAGACTGAACACCCGGTACACTTTTGTGCTTTTGCGTCGGGCTCTGCACTTGCCGCCGCAAAAACTCTGAAGCGCGTGCCCGCTCCCTCTGCAGTTCCAAGCACTGGATGGCGTTTCTGAAAAACCATCGGGGTTGATGTTATACCGAATGGCAACGCCAAGGCAGGCGGCCATGCCAGGCTGCAGGGGAGCCAGATGGATAGTGGGGACGAAACTGGGGGCAGGCGGGGGCCTGCAGCTTTGCGCGGTCGCCCGAACTCAACACTTGCGCATGAAATTGGACCCTCACCAGACGCCCCGATGCTGATCCTGCGCCGAAAATCCCTTTCTCGTCGGTCGCAAGAACTGGACAAAACCTCTGGTGAAGCACTGTCGCTCTGATGGCACTTTGGCAGGACAGCCAGGCAAGCTGGCCGTGCTGCTTGAATTGGCTACATAATTGGCATGCACCCCTGGCTGCGCGAACGCCAGCACCCTTGTAACCTCCTGATGCAAGCTCTTTGTTGTTGATCATCTCCCAAAAAGCAAGGAGGTTGCTGCCAAGAGACGCTGGCGCTGTTTGCCAATCCGAGGAAAACCTGAAAAGGATCTGACTTGTCCGGGACCGCCCCCACACTGGGTGACGCAGGTCAGGGCAGCGCCCGTGCTGCCCGCCGCAGCGCTGTGTGGGCGCGACCTCAAGCGTGCTAAGCCTCGGCAGGTGAATCTCATTGCGGGCAGCTAGGGCTCGCCAGGTCAAAACCCTCACGCAGTGATAGGGACGCTCCTCTGCGTCGAGGGGAGGCTTCATGCGAGGCGCCGGCGGCGTGCGGCGTGCGACGCCGCGCGCTGCAAGTTTCTCGGGCGTGCGGGCAGGTGGATGCACTTTGTGCGGCGGCGGCCGCCCGCGGGCGCCTTCGTCCCCTCGTCTAGCCCTTTCAATGGCTTGCAGGGCGAGACGATGCCCCTCGCCTGCAACGAAACAAGCAGTACTGGAGCAGCCCCTGCCGGATGCCCCCTTCCTGTGTAGCCTTCAGCCCAACCTCCAATCACTCAGGCGAGGGGCGCCGCAGCTGGCAAGACCTGCCCCTCGGCGGGCCCTGGCGTCTCTCCTGTGCGGGAGCCGCTCCGCGCGTCAGGGCGGCACGTATGATTGTGAAGCCGGGCCTCTCTTACACTACAGATGGTGCAGTTGCAGCACACTATTCGTTTTGTGAAAGCGGCAGGATATGATTGACGAAAAAATCATGGCGGCAGTGCGCTATCGCCGCGCCGGGTCGGTGGCGGCAGCAAGGACGATCACTGCGTGCGGCCGCCGCGTCCCCGATTCTGGCTGTGTTTGTCTCCCCACGCTCCGCACCGAGTCGCCGTGGGCGAAAGCGCCCCTGCGCCAGCTGGCACGCGGCCCGCTGGCATCCCCAGATAATCGTTGCAACCTGCGGACGATGATGACCCCTCGCTGAGAACCTGCCTACCCACCACCAATGCCAATACGATAAAAGATGGAACGGGTCGGGAGCGCCGACATCATCAACGCACAGACGAACCCCCCCGACACGCCCTGATGACGCCGCCACCCCCAGCCGCACCCGGCGGGCCCCGCCGCGTCACGCCGCCGCGACCGCCTCCGCCCCGGGCGCCGCGGCGGCACCATCCTCCTCCATCGGCGCCGCCGCCGCTCCCGCCTGGTCAGCGCCCGCCGTTGCATCCGCGTCCGCGGCCGTGTCGGCCGGCTTGGCCTCGCCGGCGCCGCCGGTGCCCTTGCCCAGCGCCTTGAACATGGATTTGTAGAGGCCGGCCTCCTTCTTGTTAAGCTGCTTGATGAGCACCCTTTTGGGGGGGGGGCGGGGGCGTTGGGAGGCGCGGTGTGGGTGCAGTGTCTTGAGACGATGGAGGTAGTGACTCTACACGAATTGCGTTTTTCCTTGTTGTGTGGTTGTGTGGCGAGCTTAGACGGGGATGGTGGGTTCAAGCAAGGAGTGTATTTGGGCCGAAATGTCGGCAGGATGGCACGGGCCGCGCCCAGGCCAGGTGCTCCGCGCGACTGCAGGGGGGCGCGGTCACAGATGTCCGGCGCAGAAGCACACACAAGGGCACCCCGACAGCCACACAGCGCCACCTGTCGCACACAGCAACCGCACCAAGCGTCCTGTGCCCGCATCGGCGTATCGAGTGCGGCACACACACACAAACACACGCACACATGTGATGGCAAGATCGGTGATCGGAGATCCACCCCTCGTCCTTGCTCCCCCAACAGCACTATGCTTCCCCCCGAAGAGCAGGGCCCGCTCACTTGACGCGCTTCGACAGTGCCGCCAGGTCAGCGCTGCCGGGCTCAACCTCCAGCGCCGCCTTCACGTCGCGCTCAGCCTCAAGCAACTCCTGCGGTCGCGGGCGGTCCCCGGCGATTTCGGGCGGTTTTGTTGCGGATTTGGGCGGATTCCGGCAAATTATTCCGCGGGGGCCCATTGCGGGGCGGAGCCGCGGTGCAAGACTGCGAGCGCTCCGCACTGCGTCGGCCTGTGGAGGCGGCCCGCCCCCCATCCAGCCTTCCCCCTTCCCCTTGGGCTGCGCCGAGCCCACCCACACACGGTATTCCTGTGCCGCCTGACACCCCCTCCCCCCGTCGCCCTGCGCCCCAAAAGCGCGGCACCAACAAGAGTGTCACTCACCTGCAGCCCCACCAGGGCCTGTGCCCGGCGGTACAGCGCCTTCACATTGGCAGGGTCAAGATCCAGGACCTTTCCAGGGTTTTGGGGGGAGGGGTTATGGGTTTGGGGTTTAGGACTGGATTGGGTTGGCTCTGAGTGGGGCGGTCAAGGGGATTGAGAGGGGCCGGAAATGCACGGCGGTTTGCGGCGTCGTTGAGTGAGATGCGTGTGGTCGAAAGGGGGATCGAAGGCGACGACCAGCGGGTGAACCAGGGGGGGGGGCAGGCGTGCCGGCCTGTGCCGCTCGACAGGTGTGCGAGGGGGTTTGACCTTGTGCCGCGCGATCTTGACCGCGCGACACAACCTGCAGGCCCGTCGGCCGCGCCCGCCCCACCCGGCCCCGCCGCACCTGTGTTGCGCTCTCCTGCACCTGCGCCCCAACCCTAAACCCAGGCCCAATCCTGAGCCTCACTGACTGCGCCCACCTTTGTGGCGCTCTTCTGGGCCTCCCTGTGGTTGCCCCTCTTCAGCTCCACCGCCGCCAGGTTGAGCCACGCGCTCTTGCGCAGCTCCTTGGTCTGGGGCGGGGGGGGGGGGTATTGGCAGTTGGCGGTCAGTTCGTGGTTGGTTGCTAGTGGAAAGGTTGGTTCATTGGTTGTTGCCGATTTGCTGGTTGGATCGTTGATTTGTTGGTTGGTTGATAGGCTGGTGGGCTGGCTAGTAAGCTGGTGGGCTGGATGATTGGTTGGCTGGTTGGTTGGATTGTTGAGTGATCGGTGAGCCAGAGGACAACAGAGTCAAATTGCAGGGCGCTGCTGGTGCTGCTGAGGCCTGCGAGGGCAACCGCAAAACCACCACGCAGCATCCGTAATCAAGACTCCCGTGGCGCAACCCCCACAACAGCTCGGCCACACCGCGCCCCAGACCGCCGTCAAGACCCGAAGCCTCCAGCTTCCTCCTGGCTTCCTCCTCACCTGCGCCCTGACCTCCGGCCCGCCCTCCTTATCCTTGTCAGCAGCTGCGTCCTTATCCCCAACCAGGTCTGTCACGCTGGTGTACATGCGCGCGGCACGGTCCAGCTTGCCGGCTTTGTAGGCAGCGTTGCCCTTGTCCTTGGCCACGGCCGCCGCCTCCGCCTGGGGGCGGAGCAGGGATTGATTGATTGTGTGTGTGTGTAAGTGTGTGTGTGTGTGTGTGTGTATGTGTGTTCGTGTGTATGTGCGTGTGCACACACGCTCTTGCGCCACCTCAGACCGAGCCGGCACGTGGCGAACAAGGCGCAGCGACGCCCTGCCCCGTCCCTGCCTGTGGCCTCTGCCCCCGACAACTGGCGATTCCCTCCATTCCAAACATACACACGCACACCCTATCCTGCTCCATGCGATCTGAGCCGGCAGCACCTGCAGGGGCTTTATAAGGCAGCTGGCATTGTCATAGGGCCCACTCCCTTCCCAATGCTCAACGCCCGGAACACAGGGTCGCACCTTCTCGGCGGCGTTCATCTCCCACTTCTCCTTAGGGTTGACCAGGTCAACCAGTGTGACATCATACGTCAGGGGTGCGGCGTCCGCGGGGACCGCAGCCAGGCGCCCTGCGTGGCCGGCCGCGCCATATGCCAGCCTGACGAGAGTTGCGGCGCGCGCACGCATATGTTTGGTTGAATCAGCGGATTGTGTGAGATGCCTTCGGAATGTGTGCATATCAGCAGTCTCGATTCAGCTTCGCTATATTGGGTGGCAGGCATCAAGGAAGGGAAGCACACTGCTGGCAGCACAGCTGCACCCGCAGGCGACGGACTTGACAAGGAGGTGCCACGCAGCGCTGCAGACCGGCAGACCGCCAGTGGTTGGGAGGTCAGGGTGACGATCTGGCAATTCCGCAATCGTCTGGTTGGTGTGATGCACAGTCGCGCTCACTTTGGGTCCGAAATGGTGATGAGGGCGCGCTCCCCCTTCTTCATCTTCATCAGCGCCAGGTCCAGGCCCTCCGGCACCTGCGGGGCGGGGCGTTTGACCGGGTTTGACCGGGTTTGACCGTGTTTGACCAGGGCTCTGACTGGGGCTTCAACGATGCTCGGCCAGGAGGTTGCCGTTGATATTTGATGTGCATCTGCACGGCGACAGTTCTGGCGACGCCAGCACTCTGTGACGCGCGCGGGGCCGGTGACTCACCGCCTCGTCATCAACAACCACCTCCAGCTCAGCGCCCTCTGCCGCCTCATCAAACGCGGTGCCGTCCGGCAGGGTGGCGCGGTACCTGTTTTGGAGGGGTTGGATTGTGGTGGTGTTGGTGGGTTGATCCATGGGGACATTCAGGGGGCCTTTTTGTCACACACACCCCACAGTCATGCATCAAACACCGTGCACCCCGTGCAAGGCACACCATTTCTGCTGAATGCTGAAAAGTTATACCATCAATGCAATATGAACTCCTGCTGGCCGAGATTATCATTCAGTGCTGATCAAAGTAATCCCCAGACGCACTGCTGGTTGCCGGCTCATGCGAATAGCGGACGCATTCGTCATCGCCCCCCACACCCCGCCTTCCCAAGCAATCGGTCAACCCAGCCGCCCGCACCTGATGGTGACCCTCCCGCCCTCGCTGGCCGTGCGCCACTCTGAGCTGTCCTCCAGTACCTTCTTCACCACACCGGGCGCCACCAGGGTCACCTGGGCACAGGGGGGTTGGGGGTCAAGCATGCGGATGCCGGTGCCGATGAGCTGAAATGTTTGCGCTTCAGGAGTCGAGTGTCGTGATTCCAATGATGTGGATGGCATGGGAATGGTGGGTGCTCGAAAGAGGTGGTTCTTGTTTGTATTGGGGTGGAAGCAGGCGTTTGGAGGAGCGGGAGTGCTGAGTGTGGTTTGAGGGGGTGTTTGCTGGCCTAGCTGCAGCACCGGGGGCGCCGGGGCTGCTGCTGAATGCGGCGGGCGTGTCGGCGCTTCCGCGGGACCAAGGCTGGGCCAGACCGGGGGGAGGGGGGGGAGGGAGGCCCGCCGCCTGCGGCCCGCACCACCCACCCTCACCCCCAGCGCCCCGCTGAATAACCGTTACACTCTATTTGGACCAGCCACCCGACAATCGGTGCATTCAAGGTCTGCCTGCATGCCATCGCTCAAGCGCCCCTGCAACCAGAGACCCTCGGCCGCATTTTGAACCACAAGACCACATGCAACCGCCCTATCCTGACACAAACCATGAGAACATCGAAATCGCCGGGGACCCACCTCGTGGATGGCGTCCAGCTTCACCTCGGCTTCCACCACGCTGCCCGGCGGCACGCCCTCCGCGCCCGCGTCGCCGTAAGCGTCTAGGATTGGGGTTGGGGCGCATGAGCGAGAGCAGTTGGCGTTTGGGCGACACCAGGCAAGGCTACCGAGCCGAGTGGGGCCCCCCTCTGCCGCCGCCTGCCCCGCGCCGTTCCACTCCCCAGGGCGTGCACCCCAGCCTATCAAAAAGGGCTCAAAAGAATGCCGTTTCCAACACGGATGTTGTGAAGCAGCATTCTGGTGCAGAGATAGTCGCAAAATTTGAACAGCAAAAATCTCGAAAAGCACCTCATTCAAACAAACACTCACACTCAGGCTGGAGTATCAGGTGCGCCCGCTCCCCGCGCTTCATCGTCTTGAGCGCCACCTCGAGGCCCCTGAGGCCCAGCGGGGCCCCCTGAGACAGATCAAACACGGCGCCCGCACCCTCGGACGCGGTCGTGTCGGCGCCCTTGACCTGTTGCAATTGTGTGTGTGTGTGTGTGTGTGTGTGTGTGTGTGTGCACGTGCGCGCGCCTTGCGCGTGCGCGTTCATGCTCACGCATGTGCGTGTGGGGGACGATGTATCGCACTTGCAGCAAAGGCACCTGATTGCGCCTCCCTCTCCTCCCTCCTCATCACCCACCTAAGACCGATTGTCAGCACCAGCTCCCTTGTTCCACTCCTATGCACCCGCCAC